CACGTTTATGGGTCTGATGTCAACCTATTGGGAGGGTGAAAAAAATCTACAGCACTAGTCTACCGCCGTACGGGGCCGGAGGTAGGCAGTAGTAACCTGTTGAATTTTGCGTGCTGTTGTCCGGAATTTTGAGTGTAGGACTGGGTATTTACGAAATGTCATGCAACACACAGGCGCCCACTCTGTAAGAGTCGTTCTTGGACTCCACAACACGTTCGCTTCCATGTTGCTGAGTGAGGGGATGCAGGGGAAAATGCCAGAGATCCCCTTCCCGCAATAGTAGAAGTGCATGGGAGACCACATACGATGTTCGACTAAAGTACAACACCTATGATACAAACAAACATGCACCGACCTCCCACTCCTTCGCTTACCGGGAGCACTCCTCTGGTGTCTGGGGAAAAAAGAACGACCCCACCGTCGGCGTGTTGTTGATGGCGTCCACCACTTGCCACATGATGTGGAAGACGGACTCCTTCGAAATGCCGAACAGCAAGCCGACATCGATGTATGACGCCCCTCGAACATGCACAGCGCAACTGCCAGCCGAATTTTCACCGGCACAGCTCCACTGCTCGCGCGCAACCCTGCACCACGCGACCAACAAGAATACAAGCATGGATGTACCGGTAAATTCGAAGCCCAAGCACTTGTCAGGCGCATCGCCGGACGGACATCAGCGCACATGCCATCTCCAAGGCGTCTCCTGCGCTGCTGATGTCCCTGGCGGTGCCAATTCATCTTTCGGACATCAGCGGTGAGCAGCAAATACAAGTGCAAACCGGCGGCTGTGTTCGCGACGGCAAGACAACCCTGACGAAACCTAACCCTACTCGCTCTTCCTCACGCGCGGACGCACCCTGTGTGGGTATATCTCTTACTTGCGTAGAAGTCGTTGCGCTCGAGGATGGGTCGTAAAAGTTCCGCGAGCTTGTCGAAGCTGTGCTCCTCCATCCTGTACATGCGTCGGAACAGCTTCCTGCGCCTCACATCTTCTAAGTGCTCGTCCCAAACCAGCCGTCACGGCTCGTGGATACGTTGCCGCGTCTTGGGTGTTAGGCGCTGAACGACAGTCGATGTGGCGACAGTCAGCACCAGCACAATCGCCGCTATTGCTTTGAGCTTGTCGAGGACATCCCGGGTGTGTGTTGGCCGAGCGCGTGCCCGTGGGCGAAGGGAGCCACTACATTCTGTAGCCGCGCCGCGCTTTCTACGCGGTCGCCCATGCCCCAAACACAACCCTAGCTGGCTTCCTATGGTAAGGGGCACTCGTGTTGTAGACGTCGCTGGTGAGGGGCACTCGTGTTGCAGCCGTCGCAGCCCGCGCGTGCGTCTGTAAGGGTGATTTGGAAAGTGCTCCAAAAAGGCTTCCAAAATTTGGAAGCTAGTGGCTCCAAATTTTCGGGCCCGACTTCGTTCCAAATTTATGTCAAAAATTTGGAACGGTGGGTTCCAAATTTTTGGAGCTTTTTTGGAGATTTGTACAAAATTTGGATTTTTGGACATCGATTAAAACGGCCCTTACACTCTGTTAGTGACTATTTACACTCTGTTAGTGACTATTTACACTCTGTTAGTGACTCTTTAGGACTAACCGATGTTGCATTTTGCAAGGCTAGGTTCCTCACGCGAGCAAGGCTAGGTTCCTCACCCCACATCTACCCTAACCCTAACCCTAACCCTAACCCTCACCCACGGCCAAAGGACGGCCTAGCGGCCGCGAACTGGTCGAGAACGCGGCTGCGCCGCGTTCTCGGAATGCGGAACGGCGAGAGGGCGCTGGAGAGGGTCAAGGCTAGGAACCAACGCCGGACCAATTAAGGAATAATAAAAACACACACAGAAAGACTACCCATTCGAGATATACCCACAGTCGAACGGGATGTGGTGGAGTCTTTTCAGTGAGTGGAGGGAAACCGGCTGGGTACTGGACTTATTTCGAGTCTTTTTAAGTCTATACACTGATGATTTATACCAGTGATGCCAGCTGGTGCTAAGTACAAAAACATCTGTATAGGTAACTTACAGTTTACAATACATCCCCTGTAGTTCTCTACTGGTCAACGGCAAAATATCGGGGAGAAACCCTCCGTTGTGCCGTGTATTGTAAATTGTAACCTTTACAGGGGACACGGCGCAGTGTCTATTGACAGCCAATCAGAGGGCGTAAAAGCCGTTAGATAGGAAGAGTCACTAACAGACTGCAAAAACCAGGCAAAAACTGCTGAAATATCTGCACCGTCTGTCTCCAACGGCGGCGGTACTTTCCAACGAACGCCCTGATGCGGTGGCCGCTTACCTGATTTACTCTGCGTGAGCTCGCAATCCAAGACGAGTTGTCTCTCATCAGATGCACTCTATGCTCGTCGGTTCCATAGACTTGCAGATGAACGTCTCCCTCCTGTTGCTGTTGCTGTATTGTTGTTGGTGTGTTATCACATCAGAACGGTTCCGATCTCTCAAAAGCAGCACCCGGTACGGCATCCGTCCGCTGATCATAAACACTTGACCGAACGATCCGATTCCCTGCGTGGGCCAAGTACCTCGAGGGAGGGTCAGGAAGAGAGGAGAGGAGGAGAGCGGCGTGTATGCGTCTGGGTCACTTCGACGCCCGTATGAACGGGTAGAGAGTCTACAACGCCTTTCGGATCACACTACTCTCGAGACGGTGCCGCCCGTCTATTTAGACATCATATATTCGAGTTCATGTGTAATAGCGTGCTGTATGATGCAACGTACATGCTGTACGACAGCAGTCGGTAACTGCTGTAAATAGTACACACGTGTTTTTTGTGTTTTCCTACTTACACATGCCCGAAAAAATACAGGAGGATCAATAGAGATAAGTGTCCGGGCATACAGAAGGAGAGAGCCAAAGGCTTGTCCTGTCACCTCCTGCGCGCGGCGCTTGTCATGCCCAGTAGTTGTTATCGCGAGAAAGGGTTATTCAGCCGTCCCTTGATCTTTCCCTTGACGGCCATGAGGAGAAGTAGAGTTCGAAAGGTGTGCCTAGAACTACATAAGATGCTGGTAGTTTAACTACTACTGCTGCTATGCATATGCACCAGACGTATGTACAAGCAGGTACACGCGCATATGCGTACGCTCGACTCACCGTAAAGACTTCAACACATCCCGTTCGACTGTGTTCATATCTCGAATGGGTAGTCTTACTGTGTTTGTATTGTTTCCTACTACGAATTGATGGTAAGTCTTGCTAATCGTCGCTTTGTTTCAGTAGTCGTAAGGTTGCGAGTCAGCGCACAGGCGTGCGATCGATTTTCAAAAGCGTAATTTCTCCCCAACCAGGAGGAGGGTGCGAGCGCCAACTGCTGCTTCTCAGGGAAGCTCTCGATGAAATATTTCTAAAATCGCCCTCTTCGACAGTGGTAACCTCCTGGTCGTGGAGAAATTACGCTTTGAGAATCGTTCGCACCCCTGTGCGCTGACTCGTAACCTTATGGTACCCTTCTATCTATCCGCTCCCGAGGGATCACAACCAACCTGCTATCCTGTACGCGAGTAACATTTGTAGCTCCCCCCCCACGCGGGCGGATGGGATAGATAGATGGTCAACGTCTTTGGTTGGAAAGGGGATGATCCAGTTGATGGTGCTGGGTGTGAAGACGAGTGTAGTAAACTATGCGCCAACCATGAAGGGAGGGGTGGTCGTGAATTTTTATCAAGAAGGGAGACAGGACTGACCCACAGGGAAACTACTTGGAAATTTTCCACACATACTCTGTAGGACACATCCGATCCCTGCAGATCGAGCTATATATGTACCAGCTCTTTTCAGGAGAATGTCCCTGGTGATCGGTAGGACGTGCATACATACGTTCGACTGTGGGTATATCTCGAATGGGTAGTCTTTCTGTGTGTGTTTTTATTATTCCTTAATACATACGTAAGTGATGGGTGTAATTTTTCCCGAGGTGATCCGAAGGATGTAGGTGATGAGGGTATGTTTTCGCCATGGTGATCCGCCATGGTGATCTGAATGAAGGACATACAGTAGTAGGTGACAAGGGTAGTTTGCCCGAGGTGACCTGGCGATCGGGGTGTTTTTACCCGAGGTGATCCGAAAGACATTGGTGATCGGGGTATGTTTCCCAGAGGTGATTTGAAGGACTTACCGGATAGGTTACATTACTACCACACTCACAGAAGATACGACAACCCTAACGAAAACGTACAGAAACCTTGAGAAACCCCATGTGATATTTCCTTTTTTCCCTGGAAAAAGCCCCGCTATGTAACATAGACACACAAGATACCACCCACAACCCCAAGGATGAACATATACTATGACTTGTTGTGGCCTCTCTGGGTGGTGAGGAAAAAAAGCGTATTCTCCGACACTGCTGGTGTTGGTGCAGCCGTCATTGATGCGGGGGGGATAACCGAGAGGCCCCGCGGTCGTCTAGCAACGCGGAGGGGGGTGTACTCATAGTCATGCATGCCGTAGTCGTTAGACCATTGACCTCGCATCCCTACAAAGCCGGGACGGAGCACGCCGGGTGCTCACCGGACCAGGCTCTCGCATCACCAAGCGCGAAGCGCCGTGAGGTATTCGGCGAGTCGCATGGAGGGTGCGCTTCATCCTGCTAAGGGTGGTCGGCATCTTGTGCTCATTTCCTTGCATACGAAGGACAGCTGCGAATGAATTCATTTATTTTCTGGTGCTTTCATTTCCCAGAGACCGTCATGAGCACTCTGTACCTGCCTCGAGGGTGTTTGACCAGTTGAACACTGCGATCATCCCCTTCGCGCGGAGTGAAGGTTCTCGACCCCGCACAACACAATTGATTACAGATATTAGAAGGTACTCAGCGGAGACTGCTAATGACATATATATATGTGAAAATTGTTTTTTGTTGTGGGTATTTTTTATTTTCAGTCTGGAAACGCAATAATATGCTCGACCACCATTCTAGGGGTACTATAGCACCCTAGTATTTCGTACATGCCGTTACGGCAGGCAGGATTTGGGGCCCATCATGCTGGCCTCGACGCTTCTCGAGTGCGAGAGGCTGTTCCTCTTCTCCATGCTGCGCGTTAACGTGATCACACAGCGTGTTAAGAGCACATGCACCGCTAGGCGCGATCCACAGCAGTCAGCACCGTTTTATTTTATATTGGGGTCTCTGCACCACCACCACCACCCCGCCTTGCTGCTGTTGTTGTTCGACACAGGTGCTGGGCGAGCCTTGCAACGACGTCGTGTGCGGCTACTGGTGGAAGAACTACCTCTCTGGCGAGGACGGTAACGCCTGGTTTGACTCTTGGTGAGAAAGCCACCTATTTGCTCGGAGGTTTTCGGCGCACACCGCATGTGCTGCTACCGTTTCTGTCTTTGACCCGCAGAATAGGTTAGTCTCCCCCATGCCGCCCCCTCACGGGGTCCCAGTTAATGGCATTCAGAAGTGTTCTTGCTTTTCACCCGCACTGAGACTGACGGCTTTTCATTGGTCAGCCGGTTAGCGCGGTCGATGCTGATAATAATAACACACACCTTGTCTCTATCTCCACCACGTAGTACCTTGCCAACGCTGACTTCCACCTGCAAACCCGACTTCCCCCCCTCCCAAACAATACAGGTAGCGCTACCCGCACTTCAGCACCTCTAGTTTTGGCCGCGTCTGTGTTTCGTTGTTTCTTGTGGGCTGCAAATTGCCGCCATGTAGATAGGTTTTAGTATGGGGGTTCTTGACAGGGCTCACGAACGCGCTCTTGTGTTTCGATGTACTGTCGAGCATGAAGTTCTTAAACTGCCACGTTCTGTTTTTATGTGCGGGCGCTACGTGTCTGTGAAATCGCGGGCATCATCGGCAGGAACAAGTTCATGCAGGCCAAGCTAGACCTGCTGGCTTCCATCGCGGAGGAAAGGGAGGACACAGAGACGGAGCCCTTCCGCGTCCTGATGATCGGGGACAGCACGATGAGCCACCAGTTCGGCGCCATCTGCGGCTTCATGGGCGAGAGAGAGGGACGACGATTCGATCCCGAGGTGTGTGTGTGCGTTTGTGTTTTATTTTATTTTATTTTAGCGTCGACCGCGCTAACCGTCTGACCAACGAAAAGACGGCAGTCTCAGTGCGGTTGAAAACACAAAACACTTGTAAATGGCATCAACTGGGACCCGGTGAGGGGGCGGCATGGGGGAGACTGATCTATTCTCGGGATCAAGACAGAAACGGTAGCAACACAAGAAACTTCACACGTCTAGGAAGGCTGCTACCTTTCACCCGTGTGTGTGTGTGTGTGTGTGTGTGTGTGTGTGTGTGTTGTTTGTTTTGTTATCATCGACCGCGCTGACCAATGAACAGACGTCAGTCTCGGTGCGGTTGAAAACAGAATTGGGTGCTAGAGGTCATGATCTTCGTGTGGGTAAGATGTGCGTTTGTTGCTGCTTGTTTGTTTTTGTCCCATTGTTCGAGCGTCCTTCGGGATGCAGGTGAAGGTCGTCTGCGTTACCTTTACCCCGTACACGGGCTTTTTTTGTTTTGTTTTGGGGCGGTGACGGCTCAAGGGACACCGGAACCTAAAGTATTTCATCTGGTTGTTTTTTGGAAAGCTCGGAAAAAGCACCCGCGGACCTTTGGTTTCAGTCTCCAAGTATCCCTCTTTTCTGCCTTGTTTATTTCTCTTCGTGTTTCTCTGTCTTGTCCCTCTGTCTGGCTCTGTCTCCTCTCTGCACATAGCGCGCCAGAGAGAGAGAGAGGTTACTCATTTTTGTCTGGAGGATTGAGGAGAGAGATGAACGTGAAAACCTACGCAAAGCCAACCCGCAATGACCTTGCTCATTGACGCCCCCCCAACCCCCCCCTCCCCCCTAAGGTGATTCAAGGCAGGGCCCCCGGTTGCTGCATGGACACGTTGCCCAAAGAAGACGGAGGAGAAGGAGGAGGAGGGCGGGGTCTTTGTTTCCAGTATGACCACTTCCGCTTCCTTGACCCCAAGCGACCGGACAGGACGTCGGTGGATGCCTACTACTTCGGCAGCGGTCTCCACCTGCTGCACATGTACCCCCACTGGCCGGAGATGCACCCCATGGAACCGCTGCGAGTGCAATCGTGAGACATTCGGGTTGGGGTTAGGGTGAGGGACAGGCCCTTGTTTCGGATAGACGGGGAGGAACTTGAGCTGCACGTATCCGGGGGAGGGGGTGTTGTACTCATCGTCATAGTCGTGCATGCCGTAGTCGTTAGATCATTGACCTCGCATCCCTACAAAGCCGGGACGGAGCACGCCGGGAGGGGAATGATACCGTTCTGAGTCGGGTTATGACAGCCGGCGGGAGAGGAGAGGAAAGGAGAGGAGAGAAAGCCGTGTTTCTTGGTCTTGACGAGCTTTGCTTGCCGGGCAAAGGCTTCAGGGGTTGAAAGGGGGGGCACAGCAGGATGCCGCTTTGCTGCCTGCGACCGATCGACCGAGATACATGTATAGCAGCGGCTACGGTTTGAGGAAGGGTTTCGACACAACAGCCTCTCTTATTCACGTGCTACTGTGTAGATGTTGTGTTCCTTTTGTGTTTTCTCATGGTCGGAACCAGCCGAATCCATGATCTTCCATCCGTTTTCCTTCCTCTGAAGTATTCTCTCCTCAAGGGCCGCCGCTAGTGCTGTGTGCGTGAGTTGGGGAAGGCGAGGGATGGGACCATGACGCCGCCTGTGCGGAGAAACGGAAGGGCAGATCGGGCGTTAAACTCGCGTGTTTCCCGCCTTCATAGCGCACACGGGGGGGGGAGTTTTCACCCTTCCGTACAATGCCTGGACGTATCACTACTACTGTGTGATGTTTACTTCTCTTAATTGTTCTGGGATTTTTGACCTCTGTTTAATGTTTTACGTAGCCTTCGGGAAGGGACGTAGGCAGGCAGACAGGGGTACCCTCGCCACTTTTCGCTCTCCCGTCCACGTATCCCCCCGTCCTCTTGGTAGATGGCCAGAAAAACAGCATCTCGGTGGTGCTCGAGGACAGGCAGGTCATCGATATTTGTGCCCAAGAAAGTGGGCATCTTGACGGGCATGAAACCCTTCGTCTCAATAGTTTGCTCTGTCTGGCTTGCATGTCCGCTGACTCGTGTCCTTGCAGGTGGTTGAATTACGAGAGTCTTCTCGAGGGAGTCGTCGAGGGTGTTCGTGCGAAGAACGGACAGGATGTGAAGTGAGCATCATTCCGAGATTCCTTGTCGGAGGTCGCTTTCGTCCGTCCGGCTCAGGGCTAGCACTAGGACTACATTAGCGTTCGTCGAAAGAAGTGAAATTTCACCCCGATTGTTTTCGGCAATCGCCAGATTCGCTTTCATGAAAAACCACGCCATCGCCGACGACGTTTTTTTGTGTTTTTGTACTATCTCTTTTCGGCCATCAGCAGATTCGCTTTCATGGCGAACCACGCCACCGCCGACAGCTAGAATTTGTGTGTTTTGTTTTTATTTTCGATGTCTTTCTTCGGCCGTCACCAACATCGCTATCATCACGCCATCGCCGCCAACGTTACATATATTTTTTTTACATTTTTTTCGGCCATCACCAAAGTCACTTTTATGACGAATCACGCCATCGCCGACGAGCTATTTACCGGCGAGTACAAAGAGATTCGCGCCGCCTATCGGGAAGGAGAGGGGAACGCCACCATCCGGGCGGAGTGCCAAAGAGAGGTACACGACCGTGTGGAAGGGGGATCGTTTTTTGCAGCTAGTTGCTGTGAGGACAGGCTGTTATTGCCAGCTACTACTATCTTTTTTTCTCATTCTGTGGTAGAAAAATATTGCTTATTTTATCGCTACTGTCTTACCTTCTTGTTATTCTGTGAGAGAAAAACTCTAGCTAGTATATTATCGTTTTTGTGCTTGCGTAGAGCCGGGCTTGGCTTGACCGCTTCTCCCTTCTCTCGAACCTCTCGGGATCGATGTCGGGTTACGGGGGTTGGTTGCCTACGGAGATGCACCGCCAACCAAAACGATTTCAGGCATCGAGCCTTGGTCCGATGAGAACCCGGCATGCTCCGTCGCGACTTTGTAGGGATGCGAGGTCAATGGTCTAACGACTACGACTACGGCGTGCACGACTGTGAGTACCCCCCCGCCCCCATTTTTTGTTTTTTTTTTCGCGCAGGACAACGTCCAAGTCAGGGCCGCATCCGTCGGAAACCCTGGCGACTTTCGCTACTCCGATTGGCACGGAAAACCCGACATCGCCGAGTACATTACCCACCCTGAGGGACAGGGGCTGTTCACCGTGGACACCTACTGCGAGGAGGCCATCTTGGATCGACGGGGCTCCCTGCAGATGAGCAGGTAGGGTGACAACGACGGTGATTCAGCAGCGCAAGTGGCCTTTTAGGGTTTAGCTTCGACAGCGCTGACCGTTAGAAATAGCCAGTCTTCTCAGTGAGGGCAACGTGTGCACGTCATGTGCCTTCTAGCATCACGTTGGATGACATCCTAAGCCCTGTCCCAAACGAATGCCCTCCCTTTGTGCCTCTCCGGCTCGGTTTGCGGGTTTACCGTGGCCCCGGCAAGACTGGATGCCCCCGTTCCGTACCTGTCCGGCTTTGTACGCAGGTTCAATGATACCAGGGTATTAACACCGTATTTTGTCTTCTTCGGTTTCTTTTGGTGCTCTATTGCCGAGATGGTGATGGTATTTCCTCTCAGCGCTTGGAAGAGTTTTTCCGTCCTATTCTCGAGCTAGCCCCGCACCTACCTCTGAGTCAGCAAGTAGCCCTTGCTGCGAAACCACCGTTCACTCCTGCTTGAAGACCCCCCTATCCTTCGAGTTAGCCCGCTTGGCATTGCGCCCAACCCCGCACGACATCATGTACGCCGACAAAAATCAGGCGAGCCCGGCCGGTGATGTCTCGTCTTGGGGTGCCTGTCGTGGACGCGGCTAAGATAGTGGAGGGGCAGGGGTGGGCATCTCCCGCCAACGACGGGAGGCACTTCCACAAGCTGGTGCCGATAGAGGTGAGTGTGTATTCATGCGCGTCACCCCCTGTAGGATTGAAACTGTGTTCCCCCGACCGTGTCAGTTTCGACTGTTTTCGTATTTGTACAGTAAACTCGTGTTGATTGGTTTTGCCTGCCTGGAAGGAGGAGGGAGTTCCACCGGACGTCGCGAGAAGAGGCGACATGCACATTCGCTACGGTTCGGGCTACAAGTCAAGTCAACCTCATTCCTTCCTTCTGTGTCGGACTAAAGCTGCGCAGTTCGCCTCGAACGCAACGCGTATTGAGCAGGATTCCTTAGGGTCCGACTTTGTTGACTAAGTTCACAACGACGATATATGTACCGGTGCTATTATAGTAGTGTATTCCTCAGGGAACTTTTGCCGACCGGTGTCGCCTTGCGCCAGACAGGCTGTCCGCCATGCCCGCAGAGCTCGCGACAAGATACCACGCCTACCTCCGGCACCGATTTACACGGCTCAAATTACCCTACAGCGACCGCTGTTTCGAAAGTTGCGGCGCTGAAACCGTCTAGTCGAGTTCCCTCCCCCGAAAACGTACGGTTTGAGCAGATTTTCAAAGCTTTCGAGAAACAGAAAGCGGCGGAGCTGAAACCGCCTCATGTAGTCGAGATATTTCCGAAAACGTGCACACGGTAATGGGCGGAGTTTTCAATGCTTAGAGCAACAACAACAGCACCAAAGACCACCGCGTTCGATGCTGCAGGTGGCCAGCCTCTTGAGCGTTTTGGGAGCGCCACATCCGCCGGGCAGTTTCCCTGATAGAGATGCAGCAGCGCTGGCGGAAGAGGCGACAGGGGAGGGAGAACCAACTTTATCAGGGGACCTGGATGGCGAAGAAAGCCTTTTTCTTCAACCCTGAACGGGGGGGTGGGGGGGGGGGGGGTGAATCGATTCGCGGAACCCCCAAAAATGAGGTCGAAGAAAGACCATGTGTTGATTTTTGTGGGTCGAAATGGGTTTTTTTGACGATCACGTCGGATAACACCCCCCCCCCGTCCCGTTGTAGACTGCACACCTGACGCATTTTTGGTTCAAACGTGGAGGCGGGTCAACCTGTGTGTGCGGCGATTGATGGTAGGAATCGATGAACCTATTATTTAGAGGGTGGTATTTTAGGAGAATCACTTGTAACAGTACTGCGTGCGTCACGCTCTGCCTTGGGCGCGGTTTTGCAGGGGGCTTGCTTTTCACACTCTGCTGTCTGCTGTGCCGCTATTGAGGAGAGCGGGTTTTACGCGGGCGGGAGTCCCAATGACATTCCTGCTTTTTTGTTTGTTTGTACCAAAGCACGGTTTCCCTCGAAAGCTGAAAATTGACATTTTTCTCGTGCCTGTGGAGCTGTGGAGGACACCTGTCAGGAGTATAAAACCATGTGTGCACATACGAAGTGTAGGAAGATATGGCTCCGTCGGGGTAGTATCTTGTCACAAGGAGAGTGACAAGAAATGCACCGTCGGCGATGGATATCTTCCGAAGTCCCTGGCCACTTGCCGAAAGTGGAAGCGGAGAGTCTTCGACTCTCCTCTCCCTCTGCCAGTCCTCTACATTACTGTCCATATGTGTGTAGCTTCCATGGAAGTAGATGTTTACTTCCATGGAAGTTCATTGATTTCAGCTTCCATGGAAGCTCGAAACTGACTTCCATGGAAGTGTGGGCGACTTCCGTGGAAGTTCACATAGCTGGGGGGTCAGCAACAACTTCCATGGAAGCTTCAACTTCCATGGAAGTAGTTTGGAGCGCTTCCACGGAAGTCGATTACACCCACTTCCACGTGCTTCCATGGAAGTAGGCCATAATCAGACAGCTTCCATGAAAGCATAATATCTAGCTTCCATGGAAGCATCATCGCTCTACTTCCATGGAAGTACACCACCCGACCCCAGCTTCCGTGGAAGTCAAAATATGCGGCTTCTATGGAAGCTGTCCAAACGAATCGTGGCGATACTTCCATGGAAGCACGCCACCCGCCCCAAGCTTCCATGGAAGTATTCAGGAGCGACTTCCATGGGAACGTTCACAGATGTCATGGCGATACTTCCATGGAAGTACATCATCACTCGTCCTACTCTCCGCTCCAGGTGTGGAAGTCAACCATGGTACAGTAGGTAGCATGACGGGAGGAGGAGGAGTAGATTGTATTCCGCGTGTCTCAGCTTCCATGGCAGGTTTTCCCACCTTACCATAAGCGGGGGGATCCACCCTTGGCCCTGTTTTTTAACTGGGGAAAGAAGAAACATACGTCGCATGTTCGTGTGAAGTCGGATCTGGTGGTAGAACGACATGATGACTGTTTCAGGTGCCCATTGTACATATGGGACACGCTTCCATGGAAGTCAAATTCTACTTCCATGGAAGTGAATGTTTACTTCCATGGAAGCCCACTGCTCGCCTCGCTTCCATGGAAGCTCCATCTATTTCCATTGAAGTGAAAGCTTCTTCCACGGAAGCCGCGTGGAAGCTGTTGCGCGAAATCACCACCGAACTTCCACGCGACTTCCACGGAAGTATGAGATACTTTTATGGATGTAGATGGAGCTTCCACGGAATCAGGGGTGGTTACTTCCATGGAAGTCTCGTCTGCAACTTCTACGGAAGGACCATCGAGCTTCCATGGAAGTGCACTTCCATGGAAGTCCGTCCATCGATCCCTGCCACTAAACCGGAAGGTACTTGCATAGAAGCACACTACTTCCATGAGAGCAACTTCCATGGAAGTGTTTTAGGCAAGTGGACAGCAACTTCCATGGAAGCAAGCTACTTCCATGAGAGCTACTTCCATGAGAGCAACTTCCATGGAAGTGTTTGTGACAACTGGACATCAACTTCCATGGAAGCATTGAGCTACTTCCATGAGAGAGAACAACTTCCTTCCGTGGAAGAGTTCGTCTCGATTTCTAGGCAACTTCCATGGAAACTCGGCAACTTTCATGAAAAAGGCCAAGTTGATCTCTCTCTGTCAACTCCCACGGAAGATGGAAAATTTCCATGAAACCAGCCCAAGCACTTATTACATGGGAGTATTGTAGATGGGGATGTAATGTGTGTCAACTTCCACGGAAGCACCACGGAAGAACGAGAACTGCCGTCTCGGAAGCAGCACAACTTTCCATGAAAGCAGTGGGCACGTATTATTTCGTAGCGTTTGAGGGATGGAACAATCAGTAGAAGACGATAGAGGTCCTGTCGGGAAATCTCCAAAATGTAACATTGTCTGTGGTTGTTTGAGGTCCGCAACAACCCTTCTCAGACGAAGTTGAAAACCCTGCGACGTGTTCGTTGCTGTGACACGAAGTCATGATGGTCCAAAACACGACGACTGACGAGGCAATCAATTTGTTTTTCCCCGCGCTATTATTATGTTCAAGGTAATAATGTAGAAACTGTGTATTATCCGAAATAAATGTGTACATTATCCGCGGATCGCGGGCAGACAGTATTATTCACGTTCATTCCAGGAAGATGGTAAAAAAAGCTCCAAGTATCGATCTGTTCCAACGCGTAGCAACAAAATGGCAATCGATAGCAGGACATGCGCGCACGAAACTAGAGGCCCCTATTTGATTCCCAGGGGTCCTATATCTTTAGCCCCCGTTCCGATCCCCGAACAATAGGGTGGTAACGTTTGACGATCTGGTCACCTATTTCACCGTTTTTTTTGGGAGCATTTAGTTGCGAGAAAAAATTACATAGGTTTGAAACCTTTGTTCTCAACTTTTGGCGAGAATTTTTTGTCAAAAACACTGTTCTTTCATTGCACGCTCAATATCGGGGGCGAAGGAAGTTTTCTTCATGGGACTGGTGGGATGCGTAGGCGTGGTCATAGAAGAAGCAGGCACACGCCGTCATACCACGAAACTTGCCAGAGCGTGCGACAAAGCAAGCTTTGACAATGATTTGGTGGCGCAAACCCTGGCGTTGTGCCTTTTCCATTTCCACTCGAAGCAAAGAAGACCTCAATCAATCATTCATCACTACCCATGGCATCTTGCATCGGAATCAGCTCAAGCACACGGTATTGAAGGCAAATGGGTTCGCAGAGAACACCCTAGATTGAAAACCAAAATATGGCTCTTGACAGGCCGTAACATCGTTTCCACCTGCATTGCACCAGAAGAGGTTGAAGGGCGAATCGCCAAATGTCTTCACAACAAGTATCACCACGGTCTTCTGGCGGCTGCCAGGACCAAAGGAGAAACGAACAAAGAACACAAACAACTATGAAGCCCATCGCTCCCGTTCGACACGTGACACCGGACAAACAAAACAACCGATCAAGAACTCAGAACCGCAAGATACTATCCTTGGAGCCCTAATTGGCAGGGGTCCAACGGAACCCGGGGTTGCTAAGTACATTCCATCCCCAATACATCCCTACAAGCCACAGGCCGGTGGTACCTATCTGCATGTTCCGCTCCAACAACGACAAGGTATGGGACATCGCATGTCGAAACCCGACCAATGACCGCGACACTTGATGGTATACAGATGGCCACCTTGCGGGAGACCATCGTTTGTTGTCGGCGGCTTCCAAAACCATGGCAAGACGCGAATGCTGTCGTGGGTCGTTCCAGTGGCAGCCCCCATCTCGACACAGTCGGGGGCGACGGTACCTCTGGTGTCTCGGTACTACACGTCCGAGGTTGGGCCGACGCGAGTACTATCACTGTCACCGTTCGCTGGAGTGTAGGAATCAGTATCTGCCTCCGGGAGGATGAAGACAAAGGCACGAAAGAACGTAGGACAAACAGGGTGGTGTGGTTGGAGCTATTTGGAAGCCTGTACACGTGAACTAATTATGTCCTGTGAACTTCCCTGCGTGCAAAAGCATTCAGACCCGTTCGTGGCTGGTAATCCGCCGGTTGGCCTCTCCTCCAGCAACAGGGGTTAGCTGTCCAATTGATGCTTAATTGATTGACTAGCTGTCCAATTGATGCAACTGTCAGTCAAGTCTATTCTTCACATCGTTTTATCTCTTTCGGGTAGGGCGTGGACTATGCTCGCGGCAATCAGTTCTATGCGTGCTTACGTGAAAAGGAGGCAGGGTGTTAAGCCGAGTAAGTCAGAACAACCGGAATCGATCGCCCCCCC